AGTGAACTAATATAACATACAAGTTTCACTTTTTGAAACAAATTATTGAGATAAATGGACTTTTCCTTGATATTCTAATTTTTTGGCACATACCTGTAATACTGTACTGCCGAAATATCATCAACTCCCCAGGGTGGACTTTGTGGACTTCAACTCAACATTCAGCACCTTCATCCCAGACATCCTTCACTCTAAACTGACCCAGCTAACTGTGGCTGCCCCCACCTGTCAGTGGATCACCAGATTTCTGACAGACAGGAAGCACTAGGTGAAGCTGGGAAAAACCACATCCCGCACCCTGTCAGTCAGTACAGGCACCCCCCAGGGATGTGTGCTCTCCCTGTTGCTCTTCTCCCTCTACACAAATGATTGCATCTCAGAAGACCCCTCTGTTAAACTCCTAAACTTCGCAGATGACCATTTTGTCATCTGCAAGATGGGGACGAGTCTGCTTACAGATGGGAGGTTGAACAGCTGGCCCTGTGGTGCGGCCACAAAAACCTGGAGCTGAACACGCTCAAAACAATGGAGATGGCATTGGGCATCAGAAGGAGACCTCCCACCACCACCACTCAGCAGCACTGTATCAGCATTAGAGTCCAACCAGGTGTCACATTTTCCAGTCATTACCCTATTTGGCGTGCAAAGTCATTCATGTTCTTCAAAACTATTGCATATCTTTTACTGTCAAAGCTCAAGTCCACTGCCTGTAACTAGCCTCCACCCAACTGTGATTCAGCTTCAGACTGAACTTCTCTTTTCTTAGCCAACTGAATCATCCTAATTCTTAATAAAAATACAGGAAACTCAGTTTTGATTATAATACAAAAAATCCCATCATTGCCTTTAACTAAAATATCAGAATTACACACTGTTACACAAAACTATAATCTATAACTATAACTAAATCCAAGCAACAGTTTGGAGCCTGGGTCAAGGTGAGGCAAGGCAGGCAAGTGGTAGAGTGACTGCTTCAGCCACCTGTGAAAACTACCAAACATATCCATGAAAATACTTCTCTTTTGGATTTACAGGTATGTGCCAAAAAATTAGAATATCAAGGAAAAGTCCATTTATTTCAATAATTTGTTTCAAAAAGTGAAACTTGTATGTTATATTAGTTCACTACACACAAAGTGAAATATTTCAAGCCTTTATTTGTTTCAATTTTGATGATTATGGATTAAAGACAAAAAAAACCCAAATCCAGTATTTCACAAAATTAGAATATTTCATGTGACCAATAAAAAAAGAATCTTAAACACATGTTGGCCTTCTGAAAAGTGTGTTAATGTACTGTATTATGTCCTCAGTACTTTGTTGGGCCTCCTTTTGCATTAATTACTGCATCAAGGCGGCGTGGCATGGAGGCGATCAGCCTTTGACACAGTTGAGGTGTTATGGTAGCCCAAGTTGCTTTGATATTGGCCTTCAGCTTGTCTGCATTTCGGGGTCTGTGTTCCCTCATCTTCCTCTTGACAATACCCCATAGATTTTCAATGGGGTTTAAGTCAGGTGAGTTTGCCGGCCAATCAAGTACAGTTATTCCATGGCTATTAAACCAGGTACTGGTAATTTTGGCTGTGTGGGCAGGTGCCAAATCCTGCTGGAAAATAAAATCTTCAGCTCGGCAGCGGGAAGCATGAAGTGCTCTAAAATTTCCTGGTAGACAGCTGCGTTG